AGTAACACATTGAAAACAAAGAAACTATACAAACCGTGCAAGCATGTGTTTCCCAAACAATAGCAAAACAAATTGTCCGAGGATTCGCAAAACGAGGAGTCCAACGACAAACTTTTGTGGCAAAACGTTTTGCCACACCCCATTGCCACAGTTTGCAACGTGGGGGCTAACTATTTAACGATAAACTGAGTGACAATTCAATAGACATGTTGGGACGCTCTCCCAGATTTAAGAGAGTGGTCGTTTGTCATGGTAGAGTTACATCCCAATTTAACCTCCTACCCTACCAGGCTGCTTTCAAGTGCTTGACATCCGCCGCTGGTGGAATGGTTCACCTCAGATTCTGAAGATCTACGCTGGCACCTCTGAGAGGAACGACATCAACAACATGAATCAGGCTCTGTTAACAGGTTGAAAGCCGGAATATAGTGCCCCAACTAGTGCCCCATATCATACCTCCACTTATAATATCTTATAGCTATACAACAACTCCCGGAACACGGCCACGAAGTCACCAAGACCAAAAAGCAAGATAAAGAAAGGAAAAACGATGAAAAAACAAAAAAGAACCGCTTATTTTGTTCTTGTCAGTTTCTTCATCCCGTGAACTGACCTTCTCCCCTTTCAGCCCCGAAAGACGATGCCTCGGCGCCGCCGACAGACCTATCGGCTTGCGTAGGCGAGCGCTGGTGCGGCTCGGCCTGGCGGACGGTGCGTCCGCCGCGTCGCACGTCGACGTCGCCGCCAAGTCGCTCGCCCGTGGGACAGAAAGGGACCAAAACAGCCAGTTCATGTGGAGCAAAACATGGAATGATGATGAATGATATATATATATATGTATTGTATACATTCGTATACAGAAGGGAAGGCCATGGTCCTTTGGAGTCTTCCCGTCGCCGAGGCCCCTACCATTTGTGCCCGTTCCCCGATAGGCTTGGACACAAACGAGAGGTACGAGTATGTCGCTGGGCACCGAAGTGATCATATACTAGTGCACAAAATCCAAGACTATACTTCAGGATTTCTGTTGATGGGTCTATTTGAATTATGTTATTGCTTCTGACACTGACTTTCAAAAGTACTGTAGATTCCTCCCACCAGTCGTCCAATCGTCATCACTGGTTCAGGCTACAAGCCGTTTTTCTCGGACCGAGTGCCACAAAACCGGGAATCATCGACCCGACATTTTCAAGGACTAGGAGCAAGGACGCTACTAGTTTAACAGGTGCATTTCTATTAGTAGCAAGAAGCTACTAGTAACAAGGTGCATCGCTACTAGTAGCAAGGACGCTACAAACATAGGTTTGATGACGATTGGGTTCGCAGCTGCTGGACTGTTCTTCCTCAACAACCAGCGGAGCTTGCTACTAGAAGCGATGCCCTTGTTAGTAGGAGAGAGGAGCTACTACTAGTAGTGCCCTTTGTTACTAGTAGCAATGCCAGGAGCTACTAGTAGCTTCTTGTTACTCTAGTAATGCCAGGAGCTACCAGTAGTTTCTGCTTTCCTGATGAGGATTGATTAGGTGGATTTTCTCACGGATGGAGACGTGAATCTATATTTACTCTGTTTCACCAGTTTGAGGGCAATGAGGGGAGGGGGTTATTGAATTGCTCTACTTTTTACATTATAATTGATGTTATTAAGTTATTCATCATGGCTCGACACTGCTCGACACAAAACCCTCCGGCAACACGTGCTAAGCCGCTTCGACGGATCGCCTGCTCAAGGGCTTCGCCACCGGTGGAGGCGGAGGCGGAGGGCCCTGCTTGCAGGTGCTCCAAAACCTGTTCGATCGAACGACAGGACCCAAACACTCCATGTTAGGAACATTTGCCTGACATATTGACCTTGAAACCACCCCAATGAAGGCAAAATGAAGAGGAATAGGATATGTATATATATATATATATTATATGGATATAGCATATGGAGTGTCAGGGGTATAGGATGGTAGGTGCCGTGGTCAGGTCGGATTTGGGTGTGACGCGGTTTTTCCGTCCCACCTTGGCTTGGACCCTGTTTCTGTGCTCAACCAATGAGCCTCCACTGAAGAAGGGATCCACCCTGTGCTCAACTAAGTCAGATCCAATCCACCAGGATCGCCTCAACCAGGATCCCAATTCAATCTCTTCGGATCCTTTTGCATCACACCACTAATCACACCATCGTTTGAGAACCACCGTTTGGTTCTGGAGCCTCTATCAACTGATCCAACAAGCGATCCAAACTCCACCCGTTGACCCGAGAAGCTTCTCACGGGCTCCCCGACGCATCCGCCAAGAGCTCATCCTCGCTCTCCGGGAGCTCCCGCGCTGAGGGCTCCTGAGGAGGAACCAAACCGAACAGCTGGGACCTGAGAACCAAGACGACTGGGGTTGTTTCCTCCCAAGGGGGGACCTCCATGTTTCATGGTTAAAAATGAAAGGGGTAGGGATGTTGTTTCGTCCTCGTTAGCGAGTGTGGTCATCTTTACCAGGACAGCGATTCTGACCCAAGACCCAGAGACGAACATGAGCAAATGTGAGACATGCCGCCATTGACGAGACATCCATGTCCGAATGACGCGGGTTCCGGTCGTTTTGGACCCTTCTCTGAGGTCCCCCACCGGAGAGGAAGGGGTGGATCCTTAGGTGTGAGGTGTGGCCAAATGACTTGGGCGGAGTGGAGGATCTTCAGCTTGTGAAGTTCAACATGAAACAACAGAGTGTTCACTGTGTTCACTGTTCACCATCTGAATCAGGGTGGTTTTACCCATTGTCCTGTGAACGTTGTGAAGATTCCTTGTTGTTCTGCTTGTTTTTGTTCCTTTCTATGAACTGCTCCATGGTGTGGGTTCTGCTCCATGTTTGTACACGGCAAACTATGCGAACAAATATTTTGTGGCTTCTTCGTTCGCACTTGAACTGCTCCAACCGTGATGACTGCACGACCCGCGACACCGTGGTGAACGACCCGCCATCACTTCCGCCCGATTCAACCGGGGGTTCTCATGATGGCTGTCGTTTAAGGTGTCATGAGTCTACACTTTGGCTACAAACACATCATCTCTACATCATCCAGTCTCGTTCCTGCCGACATACACAAAAAAAAGAACCTGTATATATCTCTCTCACTCTCTCTGCATAAAAATATATTATAGGATTCCCACTAGGGCTCCCAGTTTTCGGCCATCGAAGCCGAAACCGAAGACATCTCATCACGTGTGTTTTGTCTCCTCGTCCTCGACCGCTGACCAGCGCGGCTCAAAAAACAAATTCACGCAGCAATACGCAGAACATAATAACCAGCGCATGTTTTGTTCGTTTTCTGCTTTGTCTGTTGATTCAACACATCACATTTGTGTTCTTGCCTGATCAAAGGGGTGATCTGTTCTGGATCTGTTACTTTCACCCACCAGGATGGTGCGAGAGGTGCTGTCGCCGAGGCACGCTCAGCCTTCAAACTGCTAGGGACCTCAGAACAAAGGAGGTCGAGGGAAAGAGAACACCACAATCAGTCGAGAGCGATAATGGAAAAACCCATGGAATAGTGGTGCAGCAAATCTACTAAGGTTTCTCCAACAGGTGAACTCCACTTCCAGAAATGATTCCAGGGAGCGTATGTATATTTCTAAGTATCAATGATGTGTTTTGAAACGACATATATATAGTCTATAAATGTCTATAGTCTCATCACCGGGGGATCCTGTGCACGGCTCCGGTGACGGAGCACGGCTCCGTCGCCGCTCGGCCCGGACGTACTTCCGCACCGGTCTCGCCACGGTCGGCCACGGGACCGTGAGGTCGTTCAGTCTCAAGGAGTTTCACGACATGAGGCTGCAACCATTTTCTGTGTCCTTTTTGGCTTCCTTGGAGTTTCGGCAAAGTAGACATGGAGAGTCATGGAGAGTCATAATCTGTCGAAACAATGGTAGTTGGGTCAGAACGGTCCCAATACCCTGGCTTCCCCAAAAGTGTATAATGCTTGGTCTTGTGGGGATGGGAGAGACCCAAGTGGCTCGACCCACTCCGTGGTAGCACCCCGTGGCAGCCGCACTTTGTCCGTCCGAAGTGGTCAGCGCTGCCGTTGAAACAGGAAACAGCAGCGGTTTGGAATTTGGCCAGGCCCCGCGCTGGAAGGGTTCCGAAGCGAAACGAGTGGATCCCCCATTGTTTGCTTGTGGCATCAGGGTGCCTCCTGGGGCAGCATGGCTACAAAGGAATGGAACATCAAACACATAAAAATCGGGCAACATCCAAAAGCCTTGCCTGTTTTCTATGTGAAGATACCTGTTATGTTGTGCCCATATGGGAGGACACACTTACTTGGTCGGTCCGTTTGGCTCTATACAGTTCGCCCGATCCCCAGTGATAGCGGATGATTGTGTTGATTAGCTAGAGCCTCTCCTCAATATAGCCACAAATCTCTCACAGTAACTTTAACTAGACCGCACCTAACTAGACCCTCAAGTCAAGTCAGGACCATCCCCCCCCCAAAGAACTGCCAATTGAAGGGTGCAGCATTCAATCTGCATACTGCGTACTTCACAAGGTGCTCAAAGCACCAACTTGCCTACATTCCGTGTTTGATCATGATTGTAAATATCTTAGACTCTTAGAAAAGCTGTTTTGTGTTGTATTAAATGTAGTCATATAAGTATGTATTTAATAATCCACACCTGCATTTAGATACTTTTCCAAGTCCGTAATTTCAGCAAAGAAGACCCTGCAGCTTTTCACTGCACTTTAGGGAATGGCCAGCGTCGCCTTAAAACTAGGACGTGCATTGAAAGTCCTTTGGCAGAAGGCAGGCGCAAAGCACAGTACTGCAGGTCAAGCAAAAGATCCATGTTGGGGCATGTTGACCTTGGAACTCCATTGAGCTGAGCAATCGAAGTGGAAGTTCAGTCTCTCCTGGGTCCTGTCAGCCCGCCAGCCCTGACATGGGACACCCTTGTTCTGGAGAACAGGCGCCTTTCATTCACAGCCGTTTCTATGCACCGCGGCTGCAGCGCGGCCGATCAGCGAGTTGGAACATCAGGTACTCGCTTTGTAAAGGATGATGATCGCCTCACCGACACTGTGACTCATCGGCTCAATGTGTCATGTTCCGGTTTCGATGGGACCACATCAACCGCTGAATGTTGACACCCCCCAAAAAAACAAGTTTGTGCAGAAATGTGTAGAAGCAAGGACCCGAAAAACTTGATAGCATCAAGCCAATCAACGAGGAAGTACAGTACCGGGGAGAAAGCCAGTGCACCATCATCTGGACTCTGGATTCTGAATGGATTCCCCTCCCCAAAGTTTTAAGCATCACCGTGGATACGAAATGCCTCAACCACTAGCTCATTCCCTGAGTTCTTTTGGAGGGATTATCCACACAATACATTTCACGCCGCCCTTGTTTGGGGATTCTTGATTTATCAAACTGTTGTAAAATCCATTAGAACCCCATGGAACAGAGTTTCTACACATTCCTTCCTCCCTGGGTTGATACTGACAAGGTCTCAAGGTTTCAAACCATGGCCTGGTCTATAAACTTCCTCCTTTCCGAATCATCCTCTACTTCCCACGTCCATGGACGTACTCGGCGTCCCCAACCGCTTTTCGCCCGCCTCGTGCTCACCGTGCCCGAGACGTAGCCAGCACCCTGTGGCGTATGGTTTTCGTGTGGTTTCCAGAAGCACAGCATTCAGAATGTCACCAGTCTGGTAGAGGAAAACGTCAGGCTGGGTAGAATTCTTCATGCCAACATTGGGTTGGAGCTACACACTTCCCATCAGTGTACATGTATGTTCTATTTTTATGTATATTACCCATATCAATTGAATCTACGTACTTGTCCGGCTTCCAGAGGTAAGGCTGGGGCGGGGCGTTCCGGAAACAACTCTCTTGGCTACGACCTACGACCATACTGTGAGACATCAGAGGAGTAAATGGTTAAAGTGGCACCCACCCCAACGTGGCCTTAGAATCCCTAGGGCTCCAAGTACCTTCTAAGAAGGTGTTTGGGGTGGGTTTAGAGGGTCCAAATACCTTCTGAGGAAGTACTTGGAGCCCTAGGGAATGAAACTGTACGAGTACATAATCCGGGCGCCAATATCTCTTTCACTCGACCTCTTCGCCCTGCAGTTACCTCGCAGATCGTTCGAACGCTGCCAACCCATGCCAATCGGAAACACACCCCACAACTGGGGGTCACATTTCGACCTCCATGTCTCCTTCTGACCCTCAAACAAGCTCCTTCCCCTCCTCAAACCGCTTAAGCGAAGCTCGTTTTCTCACTCCTCCCCGGTCCACGGTCGATCCACCACGGCGGGCCTTGCTCTCGGACCACTTGCGCTCCTTGGGCCCCACGTAGAGCTGCCGCGGCCGGCCAATGCGCATCTGGCCCTCGGAGACCTGCCCGACGTGCGGGACATGCCCGGAGTCAAACGGGAGGCGTCACGGTTTCCCGGTTCCTCCCCCAAAAGAACACTGAAGTCATGTGCAAACATGGCGCCAACAACTGCAGATTTGACGTGGTTTGGCTTGATCTTTGATTGGAACTTGTTGTTTGAAGCAATCTGTTATCTTTTGAGCCCGAAACTGTGGAGTCTCATTTCCACTCCACTCCGTGCAATAACGTCAAAACTGACCCAACAGAGCTGGTCCAAGTTAAGTTGCTGTGAAACGCTACTGAAACGCTTTGGCTTTGCAAGGCGCGCTAGCCTGTTTATAGCTGTTCCGTGTTCAGCGTGTTTGTGCCTTGACTGGTTGCCGCACAGCTTGTGCAACTTGGATTAGATATTGATTTGCTTTCACGTAATCACGAAATCCATTCCCCACATGGTGATTGGCCCTTCACTGGAAGAAAAGAACATTTAAACATCATGTTGTGTCCTTTGACATGCAAAAAGAATCCATTTTCACATGTCCCTTTTGTTTTTGGTCCAAGTCCCCCAATGTCGTCGTCATCCCGGGCCATCTCGTTCCATTGGGAGACCCATCCAACGGTCCGGGACATGGCAAACATCACCTGCAGGTAGTGACCGGAATTCCGCGAGCGCCAGCTGGTATGGATGCTTGCCACCGTGATCACTCCATGAGCAGGTTGTAGGGGTGCGGTTGGGCCACCGAGCAAAACACACGTTAACAGCTTGTGGAAGCTTCAGTACAGTTCCAGAGTAGAGGTCTCACTATGGTTTTTCATGCCGCTCGTCTGTTCCAATATGATCCACTCTGAACAACTCAATCCGAATCCCCTGGACGGACAGAAAGCAAAGCAAGGCATGCTCAAAACATGGAAGAGAAAGACACCCACCGTTGCCCGTTGGGCTGCCAGAATGAGGTAGATGGAAGTTGATAGAAGAGCTCATCAATAGACAAACAACATGTGGATGGTGGACCCGTAGATCTTCAAAACCCATCTAATATAAACCCGCCCATATACATACTGAACCTTCCCATTCCACAGCAAACCCCCCCATCGTTCGCATCGAACCCGCCGGCCGCTCGCATCCATCGAGGTGCCGTGAACATGGAGGTGGGAATTCCCAGGGCCCGGAGCATGATGCCCGAGTAGTAGTCCACGTTGGGATAGAGTTTCCGCTGTACGAAGTAGTCGTCGGCCAAAGCCACCTGAGGAAACAACAGTGCTGAGGTCAGGTCGTGCTGCCAGTAGTGCTGCTAACAGTCTTGCAACTGATTGACTGATAGGTCTGTTAGACAAACAGTCTCTACAAACTTATATTTTGATGTCTTGTCAAAGGAAGCTTTATTGATACAACTTTACTGACATCATTGTAGTTCTACACTTAGAGCAGTGGTGGGAGCCAAGAATTTTCCCCACCGAACCCCGGACGCTCCACCATGCACCACCACGACCAAAAAACGCTCCCGATGGCTCCGTCGCTTCGAGCCTTCTCCAACTCCTGCGCCACTTTCAACAGAGGATCCTCAATGCCCAGCTCCTGAAGCACCTGCAGTCGCTACGCGGTTCTGAACCCATGCTGCTTCCCCACAGTCGTTCCCCCACGGCTGCACAACAAAGCCCGGCCCGGCCATGCCGAGGGGGGCTTCCTCTCGGCGGGAGGGGCTGCGTTGCACAGGGGTCGCCGGTTCGAACCGACACCCCGGCAGACCCTGTGCCGCGCCTGTGCCACAAGGCCCTTCATCACTTTGGCCCTGGGGTCCTAGGCACGTGCATGGATGAACCGTCAAGTAGAACCCAGGATGAACCTTGATACGAAGGTGCACCCAGGTTCTTTGGAAGCTCATGTTCCACAAGGTTCCACGACAACGGACGTCCGCGTATTTTGGTGGTCCAGTGGTCCATGTTAAACTCACCAGATGCAGAAGCACTGAAGCTTCTCGAGAAAGAACAAACAAAGCCACACAAAGTGATGAACAGTGGGCTCTTTTGGGGAGCTCCTTAGTTTCGAAAATTGATAATATTGTAATTATGGACTATTTGAATGCATTTGATGTTTGATGCCTCCCTGTCCATCGATTGAATCTCCCACTGACCCTTTCAAATTTGCGCCCATTTACAAATGGTCAAAGCGACTCCACGCCGGACCGGGGCGCATAGTTCTTGTAGACTCGGTGTCCAAAGCCCATCAACCGCACACCCTCCTGGGACGTGAGTGACGAGTCGGTGACGAGGGTTCACTCAGGTCTTTGAATCAAGAGATGTGCAACGCCCAGCTCACATCTGCATCATGGAGATCTATATCTATAGCATTCTATATATTTATGTACTATATAATATATATATATATACCTACGATATCCCCGCATTTGAGCAACGAACCAGCTTTTTTATGCCGCCAAAGCATAATTGAGACGCCAGCAGTATTGGTGGTGGTGAGTTTGACTTGTCAATCTGCGATTGTGCGTCCAGCAGATGCATTTGCCATTCTTGGTGGTTTGACAGGGATTAGTACCAAGAGCTTCGGGTTTGGTCTTCCATCCCAAACACTCCATGTATGGAATATAGTGTATATTGCAGAATTATGTGCACGTCACACACCATTTATCTATACAGCTACATTGACCTCTCTCTTCAACCACCCTGGCCTGATTTAGGAGTCATATGCCAGTCCCAAACAGGTCGTGTCTGGGCCTTCGTCTTTGTCATTGCCAGGCGCGGGGGTCTCTCCCGCAGCTCTTCAACCAGTTTTGGCCTTCGACCCGGGTGCCTTCTTGGCTTTGACGTCGGCCACAAAGTTGGGGACGTTTTCAGGGACGCCAATCTCCTCTAGCATCTTGATGACCTGATAGCTTTTGTCGGACCACCGGAACAAAGCTCGGGCCATTCCGAATCTCGAAAAAATGTACAGGATTGTTTATAATGTGCGCGTGCCGAAGCGTCTTGCTAACGAAAAGGACATGATACAACAAGGCACAAGGTTGGCGTTTATGATTTTTGAGGAGCCTACTGCTTCTTCAGGCCGCAGCCAAACTTTCAACATAGCTGATCATGAACAATTTTACAAAAACATACAAAAAACAGTGGCGAGACGGTTTTGAGAGTTATAGTCAAGTCCAATCACTCTTGCAGGTGCTAGTCAAATTGTTGAAATGAACGACCGCTCTTTACTGAGGGTCTTGGTCATCACAGGTTTTGGCGGTTGCTCAAATATAATATAATATATATAATCATAATATATAATCAAAACATCAGAAACATAAGATAAAAGAAGATCAAATGTGTTGAGGGTCCAAATCAAGTCAAACCCATCAGTTTGCTCTTTCAGCCTGTCTTTGCTTCATCAGCATCACGAAGTGGATTTCGCAAGCGTCTGGGACTCACCTTCCTTCGCCGCTTCGCCCCACAAAGAGAGACACGTTGCCGAGCCACCGCTTCGTTGGCTCCTCCATGTGCTGGACCCCAGAGTGAAGCCACGCCTCGTCACCCGGGTCCAACGGGACGTGGCGCACCGAGCGCCGAGCCCCCGGGTGGAACGGCCGGGGGCACTGAAGTGGGGCACTGAAGCGATGGATGAAGCCTCGGGTCTGCCCCCCTGGAAGAGTCCGAGAATCGTGGGAACTCTGTGGGGCCTCAAGATGATCTTCGTCTAAGACGAGGGGTCCGGGGCACTACACCACCATGCAAAACCATGGGCTCAACGGATGGTGTTGTTGTTGTAACCTGTGTTCGTTGTCTGAGTTGGTCCCCAGTTAGAGTTCACTGGGCCCCAGACTGCCGAAGGCCTCCAGACTGCAGGTCTAAAGCGTCTCCAACTCCAAGACACAACACATTGACTGAGAAACCCAGTGAACCCCCTTGTTCAGTTTAACCTTCTCAGTTAACTCATGATTCATCCAGTCTAACCCCTTTTTCGGCCTCAGTTCTTGGAGTCCTAAGAATCACCATGTGACATGTGTGTTTGAATGAAATAGGGAGACCCCATTCTTTTGGTCGGCGTGCCCTGCCTGCGGCGATACAAGCATAAGGGTTTGCCTGGGAGCTCCCCGCGATCCGCACGGTGGAGGTGGAGGCATTCTGCTCCTCAAAAACACGTAGGACGCTTCGAAACGACCTGACCAATTCTTGGCCAAATGGTTGGAATGGCTTTCTGCAAACCTCCCAGTGGTTTGACAAAAGACCTCATGAGTGGAATCCAGTGATGCATCTGATGCACAAGTTAGTTTCAGGTAGAATACAGTATATACTGGTAACTGAAGCCTGTTCCTTGGACCAACAAACAGCTGAAACTTTCGTCCCAGTGGCATGATCCATGTGCAGGATCATGAATGCATTGATCGCTTTGGCTGCCACGGGGTTCACCTGGTACTCCTCCATGGGAGTTGCAAACATCATGTACCTCAGAACAAGAAGACACATTTGAAAAAAGGAAAAAACACAGTGCAAATGTGTTGAAGACATGTTGAGGTCACTTCGGAACATTTTGGGACAAGCATACACGCATGTGAGGTCACTCCGTCAAACCTCAGAATCGATGAACCGCAATCCCACAAGGATGGCTTTGTTGGCACCAATCCCTCACCCTGTGTGCGTCCTTGCGTCCTTGAGAGCATCGGCAAAAAGTACATGAAACCAGTTCTTTAAGATGAACCCGTGTTGTTCATATCCTTGATCTGGTCAATCTGTCAAACCTGCAATGACTATCGATGACTCCAAGAATACACAACCGAATCTTGTTGGAATCAACAACTGCAATGTGTCTTCAACATGACTAATTCACAATTGTATTTGTTGTGATCTGTCATCTATCAGATCGAAATAAAACACTGCCTTCAAAACTTGACTCCACAAGTCGCAGCGAATCAGCCAATGGGTGAACAACATGAGTCCTCTGAGGTCATGGTTGCGCTGCATATGCGGACCCACTTGCGGACCCATCTATGATAATCTATTGAGAATATAGTCAGCTGGCACCTGCTGTGCTCGATGTAACACATGTCATTGGTGGTAGCAAGGTGTCACCAGTGTCGTTGGTGTGACGGCTGGGACGGGTGTATCCAGTGCACAGTCTTTTTGTTGGACACTGATTGCGCTGGTGATCAAAGACTGTCTTTAGTTTATGCATATTTACATATGATTGATGCAAATCTACGTCGCAGATCGTTGGCTCCTTGCCACCCAACATACATCTCTTAGGACAAAAGTGTGTGTTTCTTCGGACGAAGGTTCCAAATTTAGAACCCTTTCCCCATAGAATCCTGCTGTCGACGTCCTCACATCGATTTTGTTCCCTCCCAAGCTGTTCACATGTAGCTACCCTTCGACGCTCGCTGCGCCGTCCCGCATCAATTAGCAGTACTAATATGTGATCATGACCGGCCCACACTGCCCACACGGGCCACGGACTTCGTAATTCGACTGTGGCTGATCCACATAGATGTGATCAAACCCGGTAAGAACATGTTTTCTTTCTCCAGTATTGCCAGCAAGTGGCAGGAAGTTTTCTGCAAAGCTTAAGTCTGCCCGAGGATACATCATCGGCTGTCCTAAGAAAAGTCAAGTGACTCTCTGTTTGTTGTTTCTGGCCATCCTGGTCTGAATGATAAACCGACTTCAAGTGATATTGATGTTTGATTCACCGAAGGAAGTGAAACCATAGCAACAACTTCCATGTCTATGTCCTTCCATGTCGATTCTGCCATGTTCTACCATTCCTTCCGTTCCGCCCTTGAAACGCGAACCCAACACGTCTTCCGCCCTTTGGCCATTCCCAACCAAGCTGGTACGGAACGACCGTGTTAGAAACTTTCACGGAACGACCCGGGTGAAACCATGTTGAAAAGAAAGTCCTAGAGACTTGTGACGCGATCAAGTAGAATCTGAGTGGAAGATGTGGTCTCAATCGCCAGCGAAATCCAACTCAACTCTCAAGGAATCCCATGGTTTCCTTCAGATGGCCGTGATTCTTGAGAAACCATTCTGGGCAGTGTGGTTAGAACATGTTGCAAGCACACCCTCGTGCCAAAACACTAAAACGGGGAGATCTGTGCAACGATGTGCTAGAAAACCAAATGCCATAGAAGTCATTAGAAGTCATTAAGTACCCTAACCATGGCCGTCTCCCATGTCCATTCAGTACAGTTTGAGCCAAGTCGTTGAATCGCACGTTTGGTCACTTCACAAGAGTTCCCCTCCTTCCGCAAATTCACTATACGAAAGTACACAAATGAGTGTTGCCACCTTCAACCGTGCAATGTAGCTGTTTGTTTGCTTGCTTGTTTTGCTTGTTTTGCTTGTGGCGTTTGATCACTTCAGCAGTCGAGTTTCTGCGTGTTTTTGCCATCGCTTTTCCTTTCAACACAAGCTGATTTGCTGCAAGCCGTGAGTTTTGTCGCATCGAATCTCACAAAGCTCTTGAACGAACTCCCGGCCGAACTCCGCAAAGGTTCAGTGTGCTGGCACAAAGCCAGCTGTTTGTAGGCAAATCCATCTAAACACCTAGCTTGGAAGTTCTGCGATCAACCCCAGGCCAAAATCGGGCCTTCACAGGGCCAACAACATGCCTTCACAGGGCCATCACGTAGACTGTGGGTATCGAACTTGGTAGTGGGTCCAAACCTGGACTCCCCGGTCTCGGGTACGACCTGCAGCCACTTGACCTGCACTCCTCGGCCGTCCCCAGCGGTTCCCCAGTGGTTGGCACCGTCCCCACCGGTTCCTGCCAAAGCTCCAATCGAAGTCTTGTAGGCCCAACACGCCAGCACCTCATGCGACGGACGGCGGACGGCGGTCTTGGGTTGGTTTCTTGAATGTGAGTCTACGACGACGGACGGCTGATGAATACCAAAATACACCAAAACTTACTATATATACTATAATAAAGCTTAGGACATATTAGGTCCATTTGTCCATCCTAGGTTGCATGTTCATATTATACCACTAAGTAGGAAGAGCGACACCGTTTGTGGGGTCCTTCTTGGTAGAGATCTAAAAGCATGGTTAAACTGGTGCCACCTGTGATTGTTTTCTAAACATATCTAAACATGTACTGTTCGCGATCATGCTGGATCCCCAGCACCGTCTCCCAGTCAGACTTGTATGGAACAACTGTTCAACCACCCAACTGATTGGTCAATGTGTCAGTGCCAAACAGGTCGTGGAAAACTGCTCCACTCCTCGAAGCCACCGGTGGGCTGCCGAACTGGGCTGCCGAACTGGAACTTTGGCAATAAGCCTCTGCGCAGCGTGCGGACCAGAAACACCGGATTGGAGAACATGCCACGCCCATGTCTACCTTTTTTGTAAGGTATAATCCATGTATGACATCTGCACATGGAGAGAGAACCCCAATTGAATTGTTGTTTTGGAACCTATCGTTTATACATAGGAAAGGGCAACCACTCGATCTCAGATCATCGAGGGCAAAACGATCCTCTGCCCGCGATCGAGATGGAGTCCGTTAGCCTTGAGAAACGTCGTTTCCGTGTTCATCGTGGAGAAACATCACTGTACAGCACAGATTTATACAATAATAATAATACTAAGAAGACTATGTAGATATAGGTAGTAGGTGTAAAATCCCAGATTCCCATCAAGAGCTCCCTCCATGTTTTGCACATCACCAACTCTGTCTATCCAAATCCTCTCCAGGCAAGTCTGGACAATGTAGCGGGTAACCTCCGTCAGTAAATACCAACGGTTTGAACAACGTCCCAACGAGCGAACCGCATCCGACCGCTAGCCGCTAGACCGCAGCTAGACCGCTAGACCGCCCCGGGTGGTTCTTTGGAGCGAACGAAGCCACGCTACGCTGGCCTTTTGCACGCCAACCAGCGATGTTCTTCATCCAAAGGGTCCAGCTCGCTGAAGATGCAGCTTAAAGCACCAATCACAGCGACCTCGGGTCCAGCACTTCCCATGGATTGCTGAAAAAAGCAATGGAGTGCTGGGATGCCCACCTCCAGGTCCATGCCGGACCCCTCTATCTAAACCGGCACCTCTAGGATCTAGGTCTTTGTCCGCCTGTTCCAGTTCAACCTCCTGGAGTCTTGGCAATGATAAAGCTTCTAGACAGTCTATGTCAGCTAAATATACCTGTCCGACCTGTGGGCGGTCGCAAATCCCGCCAGGTTTGCGAAGAGTTCAACCTCAAAGAGTCACGGTGTGTACCTGTTCGTGAGAACAGGCTCCCTCTGAAGTAAACCAGGGCTACCACCTACCGACCTGTCTCACAAACTGATCAAATGGCCTTTGCCGACTGGCCTGAGCCTCCTTCGCTGAGTTAGATCATGCAGGTATTGTATCAGTTCTGCGTCCTACATCAGGAGCCCCTGCTAGATCAGGAGTCTTTTTTGTCAGCTGCTGATTGGGATGTTCTTTTTGACTTTGAAGCTGTCTGTGGTCTGCGTCTGTTTGCATATCGGGCTGGCCACACGTCTTTTCAGCTCGAAGCTCTCCAGTGGAAAGTCGTAAAACCATTACAGTAACTGGTGTGTCCCTCCTGGAGACAAACCGGATATCCCTGGGTTCCCCCAATAGATTGATTCGAAGCTCAGGGCCAGCCTTCTACCGGATTCTACCGCCTAGTAAACCAAGTTCGGTCACAACATTTTTTGTTTTAAGAAAAAGAAAAACAAAACGGGTCACGCTGTGCTTTACAGCCACGTGCTGTGCTTTACAGCCCTTTGTCGCCAAGATGCCATAATGGCCATCGGGTGCGCATTGATGGTGAAGTTTGAAAACATGGCCTTCACCTTCTCATGGACCAACCTCAGCCACCGTTGGTCTTACAAGCAGCGCCGCCACGCGAGAAAGTACGGCACCGAAGTACAAGTACGACCTTTGGAAGACGACTGTCATCTAGAGCCAAGTGGTCTTCAGGTTCCATGTGGGTCTCTTCCAGGGTGCAGTTGTTTCGTTGGTGTGTAAGGGCAGGCATGCATGAACATAGTAGCATTGCCTGGTGGTTTCGTCGGCACCTGTTGAGAGCCTAATTTTCATGATTGTAGTGATTGTAGGCCGCGTGGAGTTGACACTATATATATATATATATGACTGGTTGGTGTTTTCAACCCACTTGAAAAACATTAGTCAAAGGGTCCAATTATCCCCAAGTAAGGGTTGAAAATCAGAATGTTCGAAACCATCACCTAGATGATCATTGAAATCATGGACAAAGTAGCCTCCAAACAAGGACTCGAGGTACTAATGGGCCAATTGGAGCTTGACCTTCTGAAAGCGCAAAGAGGCACTCTCCCAGATCATTGAACGTATAAATTAGAAAAATAACAAAGTGTTCCAAACCAATAATCAAATATATATATATATATATGCCTGAAAAAAAGAACCCTGCCACTCAATGGAGACTCAACTGAAACCGTGAACTTAGCAGCCTGGCTTCTCAATGTATGACAAAAATAGGCCACTGTCCCTCCAGTACTACTAATCTGCAGCTTCCCACACATCGTAGGACCCAACCACTTATTCCTAGACTCACCATGATATATAGTCGGTCCCAAACACACTGGCGATTCTTCCAGATTTGATAGATGGAGTTCTGGACTCATGACTAAGACTGCTGATATGTGAGGGATAGACATGAACCCACAAAAGACATGGACCATTTGGGTTTAGAGCCCAACAGGTGTGAGGGAAACCGATCCATCTCATCCAACATTCTCTCCCAACAAATCATTGTGGCATATTGTGACAAAGGAACATTGGTTTCCATGTCCAAGCACCACAAGACTGGGTATGGACAAACAGTAGACAATCATCCTGCAGAACATCCCGGATGAGCACATTTGCAAAGCTGGGCATCCCGGAAAAAAGGGGACAGGCCACATGTGCTTCTGGATCTCTTTCCGGAACTCCGCCAACTGCGCCACAGAAGGCTTTTCGCCCACCAACAGGAGATAGGCCACCTGGAGATGCCAAAACGAGATGATCAGGTTGGAGGTCCAATGAGCAAGAGAACGTCACGAAAGTTTCTAACAGCTTCTGCGGCTATTCATCTGCCCAAGTTCCAATTATGATAGAATTCAAGCACAGCATCTCTGGAGGAGCAGGGAAGTTTCCTGATCATATTCTCCCGTCAGCCGGTAGTGTGCAGGTTAATAAGGACCTACTCACAAGCATGGGGGTGAAGATAATAGCATATGTCATAGAAGGCTAGCGGTAACATCCTCCATCTCACCGCAAACATCTTGGGGTCCAAAATTCTACCCACAACATGCCACAAACCAATCTTGCATCATCAAATCTGGTGGTTTCCATGGGCAGCTTTTGGCTCACAACTCGACTCAGCTTCTGCAACTCCGTCCTCCAAGGCTTGTGCTTGGTCCACCAAATCAGGCACGGAGTAGCCCCGGTAGAGGCACACGCCCTGCAACGCAGGCAGGATACTGCGTCCCCCAAAAATGGGCTTCGCAGCTGCTTCACCGTGAGTGACAAACAGGTGTTTGGGGTGATCTCATGCCTTTTTAAGAGTAACAGTGAGGGTCTTTTTTGATGCATGGACTGCACGGAGTAGCTTATCTACATCTATATTTCCGCATAATAAACAATATATACTTAATATTAGAGAGTAATATCTTGTCAAATCAATATCAAAGTTGTAGTATTGGACCTGCTCATCGAATGGAATGTGCAGAGGTCATGACAATCATCCAACAGGTTTTGATAATATGTCTTAATAGGAAGTGTCAGCAACGGGCAATGGCTTCCGGCTGATGTGGTCGTTCTCCTGGGAGCTTTCATCGCCGGTGCTAGGGTTTATCTACTGAGGCTTACAGCTTACTTGTGAGTTTGGGTCAGAATTCCCTTGAAGGATACACCCCTTGTTACGTTCGTAGCCTCTTTTTGCTACTGTAATTATGTTAGTAGCGGATGCCCTGGTTACGTTCGTAACTTCTAGTTACTCGATCAAGTTGAGCATGTAAAGAAAGTCAGGATAAAGACGCTAAGCAACTAAGGGCTAATGGCTGGTGGGTACACGAGCTGTTGGAGTCTCCATTAGCAATGTGCACCATGTCAGCTCGACCTCGACCGACTCCACCGGCAGGCCTCTATTATCTTCACTGAAAAGGAGGCGGCTGGAACAGTTGAGGACTTCCTCTATCTGGCCCACTGCTGTGGAGCTTCGCGAAGTATGTTTCCTCATCTTGGGCATTCCTCACCACCTCAGCAGAAGCCTCAACGAATTCGTTCCGGTTCCTTCCTGCTTCACCACACTGACAAGCCAAGCAGGATAAACGGCTTCGGCCCGGTGTGTCCCTAGATGTCGTGAAGATGTAGTCCCATTCCCATCGACCGTTCGCGCACTCTGACGAACGCATCACATGGCAAGTAGAACATGACCCCGAAAAGTGGAGACGACTCCTTCCTCTTCAACCAGGAGGTTTTCCACCTCCACGTGATGTGTTCGTCGTGTACCACATATCGACCATCCATCCATCCATCCATCCATCCATCCATCCGGCACCACCTCACCGTACCCCGTGCCCCTTTGCAGAGCCTTCGGGCCATCGATGAAGGTGATGGCGGAGAGGCATGAGCCCGTGCAGGTGAAGCCGGGGTCATAGGAGAAATATCCTGTGGCCCTGACGGCAGCGCCGGGGTGGTGGGTGCCACGACTGCGGGGGGACTCAGGATGACTCAGGTACACAGAACCTGGACTCTCAGGTTCTTCAGGGTGTGGACGGAAACCAGGGGTGTGGTGGGGTGGACAACGCACAACTTGAGGCAACACATGCAACTGTCTCCAATTCAAGGTCCGTGCATTTTCCAGGTCCTTTCTCGAAACTCGATCTCCCGAGTTTAAGAACGCAAACGCCTGTGAAGATCACGAATGTCCAAAAAGGCGTCCTGCCCGCAGGTGGGCTTCAACACCTGGACAATGGGGAAACCGGCGGAGACCGCACCAAAAAAACAGAGGGGTGTTCCTGGTGGTGTTTTCTGGCGTTTTGGGAGTGTATGGGAGTGTGGAGCTGAAGATTCCGTGGATTCGGCCTGAAAAATGCCTGTGATCCTGAAGTTCACACCTCTGATCAGCAAGTGATCTTCTCATATCTTCTCCCAAGCCTACAGATGTGACTGAAAATATGGTCAAGGGGCCTAGTGCACCCTGCATCTACCGAGTTTCTCCAGCTAGCATCCAGCTAGCCACTGAGACTTCTGGGTGCTTCCAGCACCCAGAAGTCTAACGGCGCTCAACCGGTGTCTTTCCGCGCCTTGATGCGATGTTCCGTGCCGTTGGGGAGCTTCAAGATCGCCTCCTCCTGCACCATCTTCGAATCCCCCCCGGCGGAAGGTCCTTTCGATTTCCGCACCAGGCGATCGTGGCGCAGATCGGGAACGGCGTGGGGGGGGGGCGCATAGAGGTGTTTGTTGGTTTCTCCGCTCCAGTGAGGTCCATGGGGAACCATCTCAAGGCCTTGAGGCATATAGGGTGAGTTGAATGATTGAGTGGGATTGGGACATACACTCCCTGAAACAATCATGGTGGAACAGTTTGGCCCCTGGAAGACCATTTTCTTTTACAAGTGAGGCCCGTACAGCTTCCATGATTGTCTGAGGGTATGCAAACTCGTCCAATTCAGCGGCTGAGGATTCTCTGGCTGCGGTGGCTGAGAGATTCTGGAAGACCCCCAAAAGGAATCCTCAAAGGCTCAAAGGCCTCCTTTTTCGACTTTGACATCTAGCATCATTGCACCACCTTTGGCATCTCCTATCTACACCCAAACCATAGTCATCCACAGTCCTCCAAGTCCATTGGGGCCAGATGGGGCAAGTAAAAGAGAGCTACGGACCGAATAAGGATCACACAATCCCTAGGGATCCAAGTACCTTCTCAAAAGGTGATTGGAGACACTCTTATGTAGGTTTTTGAGGGTCCAGTCGTACCTTCTGAGAAGGTACAACTGGATCCCTAGGGTTAATGACCTCTCTGCATCCAACCCACCGTCACTCGTGATGGAGTGATGGACTCGCATGGCGGTGGCTCACTGTGACTGCAAAATGGACCAAGTGGACTGCCAAAGGACTGCCAACCATGTCAACCGAAAATGGCTTCGTGTGACTTCTGGTCAGCAGAGTCACGTGCAGGAGCCCTTACCTTAACACTGATGATTGTGGCAGCGCAGCTCAAGGCTTGTCAACCGCGGCCTGTGGTGCTGTCTCTTCTTCTTCTTGGCCCTTGCTAAAGAGGCACGACATGGCCGGTTGGCAGGCGACAACAGCTGCGATGATCGCAGGCGACACTTTATGACACTTTGAATCCTCTACAAACAGTCTTTTTGTTCGGAGGGTTTCCTACCAGATTCTTTCCATGATCCACAAACGATGCCATCTCTCTCAGGGCTCTACAAGTTGTCCTTCTGAAGATCTGCTCAGGCTTGATCTATCTTCTATAGATCTGTCATAACATGTCATAACTGAATAAGCTATTCCATCCTGGTCAAGTCAAGTCTTCGGCCTGGTTCTTCTTGATTCTATCTACAATCAAGCAGAAATGCTACGTGGGCGACTGCTACATGTGCATGTGGCAGGTGAATGTATACCTGCAGGGTCAACATGCAGATGGCAAAACTCCGCGCTTCTTGCTTCAAATGAAATCCATCACCTACACATGAAGTGCCAAGTACTTTCACCCTAGTAAAAAAGAAAGAACATCGACATGTAAACACCGTTGATACATCCAATTCATCTATATCGCGGAGTTACACCCCTCGCACACGCGGACGCTTGGGCGCCCAAAAGCCCGCTGGCTGCGTCGTCTGAGCACCGCACCGGTTCACGCGTCCCGGAGTAGCTGGGCCTTGGAGCGATGCGCTGCTGGTTGGGCCAATCGAATGGACCAAAGGATCCGGGATTCTGGACCGTGAACCTCAACGATCCTGGATCCTGTCAATTGACTTCAATCCTGGATCGAGATCGTGAGTGGATAATCGTGATTCTATGATTCATGATGATTGGAGCAACAATGCCCAAGACATTGGATATCTTGGGCACTGCTCAGGGGACGCGAATCCAAACCAACTGCCCCAGTTTGTTGCGTCCTGACCGGTCACGGGCGCCCACTGCGGGACCGAGCGGCGCTGGCGGCGGCGGCAGCGTGGCTTTGCCCGCGCTGGCCAGGCGCCGCTCCACAGCTTGAGCCTGGCGAAGTGACCATCCAAGCTTCGCTGGAACTGAGTGAGAAACATCAAGGACTGTATGGGATTCCAACCACCATTCCGCGGGTGAGCCGTAGCTCTTAAGAGCCGGTTGAATCGGTGCGTACCCCCATGCCTGGTAGCTGTGCTTGTAGCTATCCAGCTTGGGTGATGTGTGGACAGAGGATCATGATCAGCAAATTCAATAGTGTTACTTTTGCCAGAGAGTTTACATTTGGTACCAACAAAAACAGCTGAACCTGGTTGAATCACTATTGAATATTTTTTTAACCAGCTGAACCTGGTTTCGTGGCGAGATGTTTCGTTTCACCTGTTCAACACTTATCTACACTACCAAACCAGCTGAAGCTTGAGTTGTAAAGCATCCAAACACCCGCAGGGTGCTGCTTCTCCGTAAAAAGAGAACACCCCAAAGGACGCCTCTGGGCAGATTTCGCACATCTACTATGATGAGCCTCACTCTCACTCTCAAGCCATGAATAGGTCTCAATTTCGGAAAACAACCTGCTCTTGGGAAAATCTTGGCTTCGGCATTTCTTCCCCTGGTCTGGGCCCTTTATCCGGTCTCCCCACCTCCTCGCGTGCGTGTTGCAAGCTGCTAGGGCTCATGGGCCGTGGCGTGGGCACTGGGATGGGCGCCTGGGCAGACCATCGCAGACCATTCGAAGTCGGCCCCGGCACCAACATCGCAGGAACAACACGAGGAACTTCTTCCCACCTTCTGATGTTGGAATGTCCTTGTCTCCAACAGGTGGCTTGTTCCATTCCAAACCTCCTGGTGGCGAACAACCCACCTTTGCACCTTTGAATTCTCTCTCCCAAACGGACCCCCCCAGTCATCGCACCTCGGGTTCGCCGATGAAAAAGGGCTCTCGCAGGCCTCGCTCGGCACCTGGAAGATGCATGTGATAGGGATATTCAATAGATGTTTTTTTGGTTCTTATAAGCTTCATGTCTTAAATCATACTTTCATGATGTATAGTGACGGACTGAAACTTAGAATGCCGTTTCAATTTCCCAAATAACGATCATATGCACTTGCAATGGGCCCAAAAACCCTTCAGTTAGAATGAGGGGGGCACTCCTTAAGTTTCGGTCCGTCACCATTGGTGGCGTCAAACGTGATAGTTAGATATTTTAGTAAAATAGTTATATATATTTCCCACAGAACACAGTTGGAACCTATGCGTTGAGCTATTTTGAGCCGCTCTCCGTGTTTGAAGGGTCACCCAGTTGCCCATTACTGTCCCTTGCAAGCATCTCCTTAAATCACCCCCAGGCAAATCCAGGTGTGGCTTAAAGAGGAGACTGGAACTAACCTCCTCGAATGAATGGTGGCTCAATGGATTTCAACATCTAAAGGAAGCAGGCCTCATGATGCTTCGGCTTTCCCTACTTTACCTCCCCCGCCTCTGCCAAGAATCCTCACATGCTATAGGCTTAGACCATAACCTTCAGTGAACTCTCGTTCCAAAGGAACTGAAACACCGCTATGTAGGGTTTCTACCTTGCAACCAACGCCATGTCAAGGTTGGCCTTCCGCGCACGTTGAGTTGTGAATGCATGAAATCAGCCACTACGAGTACAGCAGTTTCGAAGCACACTACAACCTGAGAGGGTCATGAACACTGAGGCCAGAATGAGCAACGTGTCTTGTTGCAACATGTCCCGAGTGTTTGGGCGAGGCGTTTCTGTTGTGTCCAAGCAAATCCACACAGCCAATGCATCCCCACAAACCAAGCTAAAGGATATTACAGTAAGTGAGGTGTCCTTTCGCTATCCTTTTCATAGGCGAACTGATGCGAAAAAACAATCCAAACACTACCCTCCAACAATCGAAGCTGACCAGGACCCTCCAAAGGAAAATGGTCTTCCAGGGGCCTGCTTTCCACGGGCCTGGTTTCAGGAGAGTGTATCTCGAAGACGAGTTTCAGCGAGGGGAACTGGGCCCCCACACGTGTTCGCTTGGCACCGTCGTAGCGCAGCAAGCCCGCGAGAAGCTCGATGGTCGTCTGGGCGTCGAGCTTAAGGTCCACTTCCACAAGGGGTCTGATGGATTCAAAGGGATCCTTGATTCTGATGCGTTAAACATTGAATAACATGAGCCACAGATCTCTCACTAGGTGAATCTTTTGGTGAATTCGGGAGTAGTTGCCGACTTGAAAGTATCCTACGAGTGCGGGAAAAGCGAGGAAACCTGAAACTTGCGGTTTAGAGGTATTGGATGTCCGACTTCCATCTTTCTTGTAGGCAGCATGCCAAGGAGGAGGTCTCACGCTGGTTGGAGCCATCTATTGCTGTGCTCCCTGAAGAATCAAGTGGACTCTCATAGAGATAGTTTGAACACAAACATCCAGACTTGCTCTGACCTAAGTGGGCACCGCCGGATTCTTTCGTCCACCACCTCTCCCCGTCCCCGTCGCAGAAGTAGATCAATTCGCCTCTTGGTACAAATACAATAATACAGTATAGGCTATAGGTGCCGTGTGCAAAACATATATTACATATTGACGCCAGTCAGTATACTTCATCTTTGTCTTACTCACTATAAGTCTGGTACAAAAATGTCTATACCAGGAGTCACGTCAGACGGGGGTGGTTTTGAGTCCCCAAGTGAGTGGAGGTTCTGGAGTTCTGGGCACCCCAACTTCCTCCGTTCGTTCGGCACCCCGTCGAACGTGACCATACTCGTTCCCAGTCCCAATCATCGCGCCTCCGCGGCGCCCTGGTCCCTCAGGGCTTGCCACGCCGCAGGCTCCGCGTTGGCACGGCCGGAGGCCTTGAGTCGCCAGCTTTCAGGAGCCAAGTCGGTTGATTGATCTACCAGCACCCGACTCTACTCTACAGGTCACCACCTGCGACCTTTAAGTCTGCAAAAGCTACCAAAGGAGACCTGTTAGGAGGGTATAGGTATATACAGATCAAAGGTCTCGTGCGTTCATGGCCTTAAGGAAGAATGTTCAGAGCCTTTTCTGTCGCACTGCGACATCGCATCTCGCTGTGTCCACAAAGGCGGCGAAGGGACTCGACCGGTCAAAGGTGTTGATCAAGTCGAAGTGACTAGACTAAAGAGAGAGAGAGAGAGAGCAATTAGCATGCTATTGACACGTGTGAAATGTACTGTTGAGGTGTAGGGTGTCCATGAGTTTCGGCCCATATGCAGAAACCAATGATACCCCATGAAACACCTCGCTGGAAAGCCTGTCGTTTGTATGTCTGAGCATGTCTGAGCCAAGGGTCTCCAACCATGCTGCTGAGGGAGACTCCTGCCTGAGGGCTCCACTCCTGCCTGTCATACACTATGGGCAAAGCAATCAAACCAACGTCGAGGCATGTCGACATCCCTTTAAGGCCCGAACCACAGAATTCACAACGACCAAACCCTCACACCACGTCAGCGGAGCAAGTGGCTGCGGGAACATCAGTGGCTACGCCCAGCCGACCAAACCTCCGCCCGACCTTTGCGCCCAAACCCCCCAATTCCGTCGGCCCGACCGACGCGGAACCGACCCAGCACCGATCGCGGATCCACCCGAGCGCCCCGCCTCCACTAATTGGGCAGCCAAAGGCCACGACTCCTCTGGGGCGCCCAACTCCTGGGCGTGGCTCCGGACGGACGGTCCCGGTGGGACGGGACGCCGGTCCGTGGGACCGAAACGAGACTGGACCAGACCGGCGGTGGCGCACAACCGAACGACGTTGAACTGGACCACGACTGTCTTCGTGCCTGGTTGAAATCTGAAGTCAAAAACCACTTGGGAGAAGCCGTTCCAATGGGATTTCCACTCGCTCCCATCTGTTTTCCCCCCGTTCTCCGCGGCAAGACTGTGTGGCACGTCTACCGAGGCAGACCGGCGCGCAACGTACGTCGGCTAAGGTGAGGACACCGCAAATGCGGAAGAGCATGTCCTCGGTCGGCAACCAAAATACCCAGTGGATCCCAGTGGTGTATTTTTACTTTTACTGTTTCTTTATTCATTAAGAACAGTTTTTTCGACTTGGCTTTACGGGTCGAATTGTGCCGCCAGTCGACTTTGGCGT